CACATTGATCACCAGATGCGCCAGCTTGTCCAGCTTGTGGAGCACAACCAGTTCGTTGCTTGCCTTGGGCTGTGCACTGCGCTTCATGTCATTGGTGAGAGTGGTGCGTGCCTCATCGCCGCCTCCCGTGGATGTTCTTTGGTTCGCCTTGTTCTCGGGCTTGAGGAACTTAAATGTGGGATCATTCGCCTCCGCATCCGTTTTGTTATCCAGCGAGAGGCGACTCACGGACGCATTGCTGGAGTACGAGCTGTTTGAGCGGCGTCGCATGATCATGGAGTCTTCAGCGACGCGTCCCTTGTACACGTAGTCCCAGGACTCAGAGGCCAGTGGCTTGGTCTTAGTGGCGGGAGTTGTGGCTTCAGCGGCAGCAGCGCGTTTGCCGCTCTTCGGTGCAGTGGCAGTGGCTGCCTCCTTCTTGGGCGATGACAGCTGTAGGGGCTGCAAACCGAAAGTGTAATTAACAAATGAAGCAAAAAGGTTTGGAAATACTTACCCGTCCGGTTACGGTCATGGCCCGATTGCGCATTCGCGGCTTGTTCAACGTTTCGCCGGCACTCAGCTCACGCGCCTCATGCTCCACGGCTTGGATCATATTGGCTGCACCCTCATCCCCCATCAATCGATCAATTTCGCTCACTTTCTTCTTTTTCTGTGCGCCGCCATTGGCCAGGCCAGCGTTGGGCGTTTGCGAACGACGCTTGGCGGGTGCCCGCACCTCTGGCGTTGCTGCACGCATCAGCGCTGCGCTTGGCGTTTGGCAGCGACGCTTGGCGGGTGCACGAATCTCCGGCGTTGCTGCACGCATCAGCGCCACTGTGGCTGGACGCGTCTCCTTTTTGGGCAAACTCCTGGCCGCAGCTCCGCTTGGTTTCGCAGTCTTTGCGGATGTGGAGGGGCCAGCGCCATCTGCTGCTGTGGCCAGTGGCGGCGTTGCGGTGCCCTTGGAGCTGGCATATTGGGCAAACGATTTCTGTGTCTCTGGCACATCCGGATCCCAAATGATCTTCGGCACACGATTGCGCTTGACACCTGCTGGTGCCTCGCTGACCGCACGCTCTATGGGTGTGGCAGCCTTGGTGGGCTTCATGGAGTTAGCCAGAGTCCGGGCGCTAACCGCTTTTATGATTACTTTGAGCTGGTTGGGATTCAAATGCTTATTATTTGGCGGCACTTTGACAGTCTTTGGCTGTGGCGGTAGTGGCGGCTTTTTGGTTACAACTGCAGCTGCGGGCGCCTCGCTGTCAGAGTCACAGTCGGTCCAGTCGTCGTTGAGCGTGCTCACAATATCCTTGGGCTTGACCACAGCCACGGGCACTGCCACAGGCTCTTTGCGGCGCGATTTATGAGATGTTAAATCCGCAATTTGTTCCAGCGCCACGGCGCGTGCTTGCTCCGGCGAGAGCTTCGTTTTGTACGCCTGCGAGGGCGAGGCGGAGGACGTTTTGCTGAGCATTTTGCTGGACACAGTGGACTTAACACTCTTCGCGGCTGCTGCTGCCGGCACATTGTCTTCATCATCGTCGACCTCCAAGGTTGGATATTGGCCCTCCCCGACGATAGTCACCTCCACATCGACGTTGTCCAATTCGGAGAGTGTCTTCTCCATGGCGGACTTTTCCTCATTCGCGTCCGTGCCTTTTAGCAGTGCAATCAAATCCTCTTCCTCCAGCGCTGGTTCGCTGGTCTCCCCCTTGCTGGCCTTGTCCAACTGTGCTGCTGTCGCCTCTCCCACCAGCGGTGCAGCTTCGTCTGCGCCCACCACAACGGGACTGCCATTTTCGGCACCGCTGCTGGTGGAAGCAATTTCGATGACATTTTCTAGCGCCTGTTCGGCGGGATGTGTGTTGTGCATTTCGGCTATTTCCAGCTCCAGTGAACTCATCTCATCCAAGGCCACCTGCTCCACCTTCAATCCACCATTCGCTGCGAGCAGGTCGGAGCCCGCTGTTTTATTTTTTATCTCCCCCTCCTCCTCCTGCTGCACCGTGGCTACGGTGTTTGGCTGCGATTCTTCCTTGACGCGTGCGCCTGGACCAGCCTCCTCGCATTTGGACGGCTCCTTGGCTCCGTCCACTTTGTCGCTCGTCATCTGTGCCATCATTTCTATGGCCTCTTCACTGACTGCAGTTATTTATTTGTTTATCTAATTTTTTGATTCCCCGACGTGCTGCGATTTGGTACTAAAAAAAATCTATTCTATTGCTAGTGAGCGGCCATTTTTGTTAGAGATGCGCGAAAACAATCGATAGCAAACTATCGACAGGTATTTCTCTTTTGGTGGCTATCGAAAAACTAAACGCTCTCATCCCCCCCTTTGCAACACTCCGATGAATACTTTAAAGAAAAAAGTCTGCAGGATCCAAGGATAAAGCGAGGATATTTGTTTGTAAACGATTTGTTCAGCTCGAAAACCACTGCAACTCGGCGACGAGACGCTCTGAAGTGCACTCCACTCGAGGCGACGAAACGCTCGGTCGTGGCGGCAACGGGAAGGCAACAAAAACAACAACATCCAATACACAATTTGCCAAACCAAAAAAACGTTTGTGTCTCAGGATGTGGGACTCGTCCATGTTTCTCAGCACATTGACGCCAAAGTTCTATGTGGCACTCACGGGCACCTCCAGCCTCATATCGGGCCTCATTCTGATCTTTGAGTGGTGGTATTTTCGCAAGTACGGAACATCCTTTATTGGTAAGTTCCCCGTGCTCCCTCTCTGACTTCAACTGATTTAAAACCTTTTCCCTTTGACAGAGCAAGTGTCCATCAATCACATTAGCCCCTGGATCAATGGCAACGATGCCCAATCGGACTCCAGCAATGGCAGCGGCAGCAGCAGCAGCAGTGGCTCCAGCAGCAGCAGCAATGGCGGCGGTGGTGGTGGCAGCGGCGCAGGACCGGGCGCTGGTGGGGGTACCAATTCAACCACCAGCACGGGCACCCAAATGCCCGAATGTAAAGTGTGGCGCAACCCTCTGAATCTGTTTCGCGGTGCCGAGTATCAGCGCTTCTTTTGGGCGACCAGCAAGGAGCCGCTCACGTACTACGACATGAATCTGAGCGCCCAGGACCATCAGACGTTCTTTACCTGCGAAGGTGATGCACGCAAGGAGGAGTACGAGATTATGCAGACGGCCTGGCGTGAACGGAATCCCATGCAGCGCATCAAGTCCGCTCACAATGCCCTGGAAATCAATGCAGAATGCGCGCCCGCGTACATTCTGCTGGCCGAGGAGGAGGCCATGACCATCATGGAGGCGGAGAAGATACTGAAGACAGCGCTCAAGGTGGCGGAGCTCAACTATCGCAAGTCGCAGGCCACACAGCATCAGGGCGTCATTGCAGACGGCATGCATCGCAGGGACACGAATGTGCTGATTTACATCAAGCGACGGCTGGCCATGTGCGCTCGGAAGCTGGGCAAGTTGAAGGAGGCGGCCAAGATGTTTCGCGATCTCACCAAGGAGATACCCTCCATCATGAGCGTGCTGAACATACACGAGAATCTCATCGAGACGCTGCTGGAGATGCAGGCCTATGCCGATTGCCATGCCATACTGGCCAAGTACGATGACATTTCGCTGCCCAAATCGGCGACCATTTGCTACACGGCAGCGCTGCTCAAGGCGCGTGCCGTTGCGGACAAGTTCTCGCCGGACATTGCCTCGAAGCGGGGGCTGAGTCCGGCCGAGATGAGCGCCGTGGAGGCCATACATCGCGCGGTGGAATTCAATCCGCATGTGCCCAAGTATTTGCTGGAGACAAAGCCGCTGATTCTGCCGCCGGAGCATATACTGAAGCGTGGCGATTCCGAGGCCCTGGCCTATGCGTTCTTCCACTTGAAGCACTGGAAGCAGGTGGAGGGCGCGCTCAATCTGCTGCACTGCACCTGGGAGGGTACATTTCGCATGCTGCCGTATCCGCTGGAGCGCGGTCATCTCTTCTATCCATATCCAACGTGCACCGAGTGCGCCGATCGTGAACTGTTGCCGGCCTTCCACGAGGTCTCCGTCTATCCGAAGAAGGAGTTGCCCTTCTTTATACTCTTCACCGCTGGCTTATGCTCCTTTACGGCCCTGTTGGCCCTACTCACGCACCAATATCCAGAGCCAATGGGCCTGCTAGCACAGACAGTACTTACCTGGATCTCGTATCCATTTCAGTTGCTCAAAGAGCGCGTTGAGGCATTCTGGCCGTGCAACTTGCTGCAGCAATTGTCGCGTGTCTAAGTTGAGTGGATTAAAGGAGTGAGCCATATATCTATGGCTATCCCCTCTACCCGTACTCGAACCCGTACTACTCTCTGCCCTCGGATGACGCACACAAACACAAGGAAACACTCACACACACACACACTCACACGTACATTTTCAGCAAGGAACAAAAGCTACAACAAAAAAAAACATAACTACACTTATACACATACATATATATATATATATATATATATATCTATATATATTTTGGATCTTAATATGTCTGTGTTGTCTTCGTGAAATAAAGAAAGCAAAACAACAAAACAAAAAGCTACCAAAATCTCAGCGCTTTCTGTGGTCCCTCCCCTCTCTACTAAGACCTTATTCACATCATTATTTTAATTACTTTACTGTAACGAGAAGCGAGTAGCGTGTAAACTAAATGAAGAAATTATAATTTCATTTATTTATTAAATTGTATATCATTTTTGTTTCTGCTCTTTTCAATTGTCTAAAAGCTTCAGAGACAAATGCAAATGAAAAAACGACTCGAAATCTATCATATTTATTGGTGGGACAAATCTATCAATATGAGGCTATAGGGAATTTTCCTGTATTTATATTTAAATGGTATATGGATAGCTTAGTAATATGTCATATGTCGGCACTGAAGAATCCTTCCTTCTGCTCCTGAGAAGAATCTATCGCTGGATGACGGCTCTCGTCATCACGGGTACAAGTCACAAGAATAACGGACTGGCGAGTAATGGAATGGATATCCGTAGAATATTTCGCAGGGGTTTTAGAAAACAGTACTATTTATTTATTATTTAATTTTGTGTACATTGTAAGTTCTATCAAATTTGTGTAGAGCCATTATTTTGCCATGTTATTTGTTGTCAAGTTGTGCTCATTTATAATATGTTTAAAGTTCACTTTGTGATTGGGTTTACATTTGTTTCCTCTTCTGCGACATTTGCCTACAATTGGCAGATGCTGTAGTAGCCCCCGCAGACGTCACATTTCGTGAGGAGTTCGGAGTAGGAGTTTGGATTCAGCGACATAAAGTAGGCACTGACGGCTGTCAAAATGTCCACGGTGTGCGCGACAATCTCATCGTAGTCCCCATCTCTGTAGTTGTCCAGAATATGCTTAAGGATGTGATACAGCACCGATTCGGTGGCAATAAAGAACTTCAGCACCGACGTTAATTCAGCCAGCATTGTGTCCATGAAGGTGCGCGTTAGATTCAAGATGAAATCAAAGATTTCGGGTTCCAGGTTGTTGGCCATGCTGGTGATCAAATTCTCAATACTCTCGGCATTGACAATGTGTTCAAAGAGCACCTTGCCGTATTTCTCCAGGACAAAGACCACACCGCTGACCACAACGGAGCTAAGCTGGAGCGCATATGCGCCCGTGGAATAGTTGGCAGCCTCTGGTCCGTCAAGGGCAGTCGGATTGGGACCCAGCAGGCGGGAGCCACCAATCGTTCTGGTATTTACCGCTGCCTCATGGGTGGCGGGTATCGGCTGCCGCACCTGACCCAGTATGTCGGGCCCCTGATTATGCTGCACACTGGCACGCAGCTCCGCCGTATTGGTGGCCACCTGATCGTTCAGCACGAAGCCCTTGCCATCGGGCGCAAAGGCAGCGCGCACGCCCTCCTTGTTCAGCTGCTTGTTGATCTTGTACAGATCGTTGAATTGCTGCCGTGAGGGCACCTCATTCACGCCGCGTATTATGTCCAGCTTGCCCTGTGTATTGCCACGGATGCGTATGGTCTCTTTGGACACCTTATCAAAGGCGCGACTGCAAAACAAGCAACGAAAAGTGTTAAGAAAGTGATAAATCTAATATTTTAGCCGATTACCGCTGTCGATTGCTCAGTGTCTCGCGATAGCTGCCTATCTTGCTGTTCGCCGTATCATTGATAATTGTCGATGCCAAACGGAAATTGTAAACGCTGTGCGTGAACAGCACCAGCGAGGCCGAGAGCTGCAGCACATCCATGGCTGTGACATTATCGCCATCCTGATGTTTCTGCAGCAAAGACATAAGAGAGCGGAGTCGAAAAGATGCGATGGATGGCTTACCAGTATCAAGTCGAGCACACCATTGGCCACGCCAGTGCCCGAGATGACAATCGAGGAGATGTTAAACCCATTAATGGTCAGCTGAGTGATCTGCAAGGGGGATTATTATTCAAAGCAATGGATTCCAGGGTGATGGATTTGGTCTTACCGCTCCCACCTCCTTGCCGGCGGCTGTGGCCGCTGACATTGCACTGGTAGCACCTGCAGCGCCCAGGCCCACGGTTCCAGCGATAACGCCCAGCCAGTGGCCACGCGCCTCCCTGTCTGTCACATTGATGGACTGCTCATGCTGGCTGCGATCCACCAGCTTGGCACTGGAACGTGCCGTGGCATAACCGGCAGTAGCCAGGCCCACGGCACCGGCAGCCGCCATCAGAGGCGCACTCACCGGCAGCGTTAGGAAAGCGGCCACTGGTATGCAGGCAGCTGCAAAGCCACCGATCGCACTGCCCGTGTCCAGATATCCGAGCACCTTTTTCTTTGTGCTGCCCGCCGGTGTCGTGTACTTGTCCAGCCGCACCTGACCGTGGACAATCTTGTAAATGCCACGCTCGGGGGCCACCATCACACCGTCGGGTAGCTCGTTTGTGGCCACATATGAGGCCCAGTTCGGATATACGCGTCCATTCTCGTCCACGAACACCATGCAGCAGTTGAAGCTGTCGCCGCTTCTTCCGCTGTTTCCGGCTAGAGAGGGTGCAGAGAATGAGTACAGGAGTCTGCCGATGACCAGGAGGCAAAGGCAACTTACTGACACAACGACGCGTGCGGAAAACCGGATGACAAGAAAAGGAACGGCAATCCTCGGCGCGATTAAGATCCTGTTCGTTCGGCACAACCATTACGTAAATTATGGACGTCAGCGACTGGCGATTTGTATATTTTCCTGGAATCAAAAAATCTGCATGACTGATTGATGCGTTCAGTTGAGATAAGCGGCCTTACGCTGCTCCCACACCGCATTAAAGATTGTTTCTCGGATTTTCTCATTGGATGGCTGCGGATCGCGCACCAGCTCCCTCAGCTTACGCTTCAAGATGTGCGCCTGCTCTTTGGACAAGCTGGGGATGATGTCATTAGCTCAGTGCGCAAGCAATGTGCAGCTAGAAAAACTGCGCAATACTCACAGGTCCCAGATAATCTCCTCGGCATAGCCAAGAGAATCGGCAAAGCTTTGCTGAACCTCTCGGGCGGTGGGGGTAGCTGCTCCAACGTTATTGTTCGCCTCGGCCATTACTTCTCTTCGTTAGTTTCGACTGCAAAATGGAGCTTATTGCGGGAACGTACCATCAAACACCGGCACACGAACAGCGTTCCAGTGATCGATAGTTTTCAGAGCTGAATCCGCATCTCTCTTATCGATGTTTAGTTACTCGAATTTTGTTTAATTTTTGCAATAAACTTTTTAATTTGCGCGTTAAATACTAGTGACAAGTATTCGATTTTCCTGGTAACAGAATTATGCAATTGCTATTGTGTGGACAAAGAATATGTTTCCTTAGCTTACAAAAATTGTAGAAACTGTGAACTGAGACATAAATATCCGTTGCAGCATCTGAAACTGCGCGGGTTCTCAACCAAGATAAAAATAATCTTCTACAGGCGGAACAAATGTAATCGGCAAGACGATAGCGGAACCGAACCGGTGGAATCGATCCAGTTTGTCCCTGAACTAAACAACCGTACGTGCAGGGTGACCATTTAAGGTATATAAATCTGCGTTGGAGAGATATGTCAACAAATTTTTCATAATATAGAAACCAGGACTGTATTTCGATCGGTATACATATTATATAACAAAAACAAACAAATATTTGTATCTACTATTAAGGCATTATTATGTTTAAGAGCAGCCTTGAAACCCAAATTTTTTTTTTTTTTTGTTTTCTCTCTCTTTATATTTACAATCTGTTTTTAAACAATAAGTAAATTGTATAATTAATATTCAATTAACAGAAATAGCAGTTTTCCAATGAGCCCTGCTATTATATATAACATGAAACCCAAATGAATGTTAATTGTTAGTTGTTTATTAGAAACAGGGTATACAAATGCAAATACTACTGGGTGGCCAGCAACAAATTGTTAAATATCGTAACAAAACATTCTAACATTTCTAGCCTATTCAGTTATATCTTTATTTGTGTAAACAATCCAATAAAAACAGTTATAAACAGTAGGCCAATCTTGTGGCGAAAATCGTAGAAAATTGTAGATCCACTGAGGCTGAGAGTTTAGTTGAATATTAAAATCGAGTAAATATGTCATGAAATCAATGAGAGATGAAGACGCAGCAGCATAACGCAGCTGAATAATATTGTGCCCACTCGAATTTATTAGTAAGCAGGTAGGATGGGTGGCTACAATAATCATTTAAAAGCAGTATTATTTCTCCAATTTGGACAGAGCGTTTAACTTTTTAAATTGCGGTCGTTCAGCTGTCGTTAAGCCGTGCCCCCTATTCAAAATAGAGATCAATGGATTCTCGCATAGCTGCTGCCCCCCTTCTCTAATAAAGAATTAAAAATTAATTCTTTAAAGAAATCGATGCGGAGGAGACCATAAAGGAGACCCTGAGACTGACGGTTCGCATTCCACATTAATAGAGAAAATAATGAAATGAAAATGAAAATAAATCTATGTTCTTCTCAACAAGGACAGATAAAAAATTTGACAAACCAATTTGCAATTGCTTACGATCCGAAATCAAGAGAGTTGCAAACATATAATTGATTTAGAGACAGAAATTCGGTCAGAAAAGATCGCTGATGATGGAAGAGTTGTATCCTTTGAAAGAGTCACAATCTCAATTAATTACTTTAAAAATTTACAGATTGTAGCGATCGAGAATGTATACAGATCGGTATATGAAAAACATATGAAAAGGATAAAAGCATGTAAGTCTAAGACAAATTCATTGTTATATATTAAAAGCAGTTGATTAAATGGATTTATAATATTAAGTATAGCAAATCAATTTTTTTGGTTCACCTTTTTAGTTTATCCTTATTATGCAATCAATTGAGGAAAGATGTATCATAAAATCAGCAGATCCTGCGCAGAATTGAATGATGATTTGAGTAAAATTACATTTTTAAAGCTGAGAGTCCTAACCAGCTGGTAATATTAAATTAAACAACAAAATTGAGGAAAATGATTTTAGATTCCCGGTATATTTACAGTATATTTTAATAATGCAAGAGTATATTTCGGTATATTTCCGAGGGTCTGTCGGTATATTTGATCGATAATTCCGCGGTCACACTGCTATCAACGTCGAACCGGCTTAAAAATGGAAAAGTTTAATAAAGCCCAGGCCAAAAACCTTGCTGCGGCCCAAAAACTTGTGGACGCCTACGCCTCGAGCTCTGAAGATGAGGGGGAACTGGATGAGAAGAAAATTTTGGGTATGTGGCCCCCACAACATGCCGCTGTGACGTGTCCAATCAGCATCAATCTTATCTCTTCTGTAATATCAATGAATTCGCTGCAGATCAATTGTACAAGCACTACCAACCGACATCGAGTGGGTCTAGGGGAAAGACGGCAAGTGACAAGGATGCCGCACGCACCACCACCTTCCTGGAGAATACCCTGCACTCGGGAGCGGCGACTTGTCTCATCTGCATTGGCAGCATCCGACGTGTGGAGCCGATATGGTCCTGCGAGAGCTGCTATTGCTTCTTCCACCTCAACTGCATTCAGCGGTGGGCCAATGACAGCATGATGCAAATGAAAGTGAAGGCGGAGCAGCAGAATGGCAACCAGGGCCACTACAATCATTTGGGGGAGTTTGTGCCGCCCAAGCGTCAGAAATCACTCCACTGGTGCTGTCCCCAGTGCCGCAGGGACTACCAGCCGGCAGAGAAACCAGCACAATACAACTGTTTCTGCGGCAAGGAAGAGAATCCGCAGTCGCAGCCGTTCCTAGTGCCGCATTCGTGTGGCGAGATTTGTGAGAAACTACTTCAGCCCAAGTGCGGGCACGATTGCAAGCTCCTTTGTCATCCCGGGCCATGTCCGCCCTGTGCTCAGCAGGCGCAAGTCTCTTGCCTGTGTGGGAAATCAACTCCGCGGTCCATGCGCTGCATAGACAAGCAATGGAAGTGCCAGCAAACGGTGAGAAAGTTTTTAATGTATTCAATCCCCAATCCACTTATGACTTCTTCTTTAAAGTGCAAAGAGTTCTTGGCGTGCGGGAAGCACAGATGCAGCCAAGTGTGCCATCGACCAGGTCAGTGTCCGCCCTGCAGCAGCAAGAGCAACCAGCCATGCGAGTGCAAGCGAGAGTCGAAGGTGGTTAGCTGCTCGGATCGCAAATGGAAATGTCAAAATGTAAGTGGATATGCCCGAAGCAAGGAGTTCGCTAAAAGATTGCCAAAATCTTTCAGGTTTGTGGAGCGACATTTGCCTGTGGCTTGCACACATGTGAAAAGGTTTGCCATGCAGGACCCTGCGGCGGTGGAGAGTGTCCCTTGGAAGTGAGAACGTGCCCCTGTGGCAAAAGTGTATGTATTACTTACGCATCAGAACAACTCAATCTCGCAGCCCTCATGTCTTATAAATTTAATTTCCACAGAGCCAAATACGGACTTGCAGTGAGGCTGTGGAGACCTGTGGCGACACTTGCCAGAAGCTCTTATCCTGTGGTCAGCATTCGTGCACACAGCGCTGTCATCGCGGCAACTGCATTTCGGTAAGGCATTTTTCCGACACATAAATAGCAAGGATATTTGTTATTACAAATATCATTCCAGTGCCCTGTGAGGACAAAGAAGAAATGCCGCTGCGGTTTGCATGAGAAGGAGCTGCCCTGCTCCAAGGAGCATACTTGCGAAACCAAGTGCAAGCAAATGCGTGACTGTGGCAAGCATGCATGCAATAGAAAGTGCTGCGGCGACCAGTGCCCGCCTTGCGAAAAGATCTGTGGAAAGCAGTTGAGCTGCAACAAGCACAAGTGTCAGTCCGTGTGCCACAATGGGCCGTGTTATCCCTGTAAGCTGGAGTCTCAGATTAACTGCCGCTGCGGCAAGACGCGGCGCAGCGTGCCCTGCGGTCGAGAGAAGAGTGCGCGCATCGTCTGCTTGGAACTTTGTCGGTGAGTTAGAAAGGAATGAGGAATCCCCCAAATCTACTAACCAATGGAATGATTTCAGTATAACTGCCAAATGTCATCATGCCATTAAACATCGATGCCACAAAGGCGAGTGTCCGCCCTGTGGCCAGGTGTGTGGCCTGCCAAATGCTACCAGCGGCTGTGGACACATCTGCAAGTCGCGCTGTCACGAGGCCGTCAGAGTGAACCGGCCTGACGAGGCGTCGGCTCGCCCCCAAACCAAAAAGGTGAGAGAAATTTCCATGATACCGTAATTCCTCATATTTATTCGATTTCCCCTTTAGTACGAATACAAATCACTGCCACATCCACGCTGTGAGGAGGGCGTCAGCGTCACTTGCATTGGAGGCCACGAGGTGGCCACTTGGCCTTGCTGGAACTCCAAGCCCACTTCCTGCCAGCGCAAATGTTCGCGGAAACTCAAATGTGGCAATCACAAATGCTCACGCGTCTGTCATTCCGTGTCCAATCCGCAAGATATGCAGCAGCAGGCTGGCTGTGCCACATGCGAGGAGGGTTGCATAATACCCCGTCCTACTGGATGTATACACGCCTGTCCCAAGGGCTGCCATCCGCCGCCCTGCACTCCATGTGGTTTTGTGATAAAGAGCAAGTGCCACTGCGGTATCACGCACCTGGTGTACAAGTGCAGCGAATATTACGATGAGGCGGGCACTGTCCAGGAGATAATCGAGAGGCGGGAGAAACTCCGCAGCTGTGGCAGTCGCTGCTTAAAGAATGTGAGTGCATTCAAATTAAGAACAGATCCCATTTAATAATGATTCTTGTTCCCAGTATCCTTGCGCACATAGGTGCATGTCAATATGCCACTCTGGCAAGTGCCCCAATCCGCAGCTTTGCCGCAAGAAGGTTCGCATTTTCTGTGCCTGCAAGAGACTCAAACAGGAGATCGCATGTGACAAGCATAGGGCTGGACAAACGTCGCTGGAGTGCGACTCTAGCTGTGTGGCCGAACGCACCCGTGCCCAGGCGGCGGAGCTGCAGCTTCTGGAAGAGAAGCGCCGCAATGAGGAGGAACGCAATCGCCTCGAACTTGAGAAGTTCGAACAGAAATTCGGAAAACGCAAGCACAAAGAACGCAAAACCATAGACGTTGGTCCGCCCAAAACCAAAATGAATTGGCAGCGTACCGCCATTTATGTGGCGTCGGTAATGATTGTTCTGGGAGCCATAGCGGTGGCTTTCTATGCCGACAGTTAAAGGACAACAACGAAACACTCTAAAGATGAATCTATAATATCAATTTAAACGGATAAGAATAAACTACAACAACGACTGATAATCTTGAGTATGGATGGTTCTCTTAAGCCTTCTTCACCTTCTTCTTATAGAAGCAGGCGGCTGCAAAGACGGAAGCGCTGAGGAACGTCGATATAAGGAAGTTCGAGAGCAGCATCAAGTCATGCGACTGCACATACACTGTATAGATGCGGGCTAAAAGGGATAAGGGAGAGTGTTAAAAGAAAAGTTTAATTCTGATTCCAAGTCTACGTACTCATGTTGGTGAAGGCAGAGAGCGCCCAGGTTGTGCGGCTGACGGAGCTGGCATCCTTTGTCCTCAGTATGGCCAGCAGCTGGAGCACCTTGCTGGTTGCCCCAATGGGCGTGCAAAAAGGCTAATGAACGACAAAGAGGAAGCAATTATTTAAATAAATATATCAGGTGGTCAAGGGGGCCACCACCGACAAGAGTATAAATAGCTGCTCAAACATTATACAACAATAAATGTTGACCTTGGACAAAGATGATTCCCCGTAAAGAGCGGACGGACAGAAGGCTTTATCGGAGATAGAAAGAAAAAAATCTAAAACAAACAAAACTCGTTTACCGAAATCACAGAAACATAATTAGTTAATTGGAGCGGCTGCGGAGGTGTTCGGGAAAACAAGTTTGAACTACGTCGAACGTGTTATCTAGCCAAAAATTGTTATGTCTGTGGGACGTCAAAAGCCCCTTTAATCAATGACAAATGTGCACATAGACGATATAAATTGACCCTATGTATTGCATTACTCACCACCAAGAATGTAAGGATGATAATGGGAAAGAGTTTCAGGTATATGAGCGTAGCTATGATCACATAGGCCACGGCAAATATTTGCGTTTTCTTGCCGAGCAGATTTTGATACTTGAAGGCGTAGTAGATGAGTATGTATTCTTGCAGAAGGAGCACGGGATACTCCATGTAAGAGAGGAAATCGTAGTCACTGGTGTAGTTGTAGGATATCATCACTGTGTAGCTGAACAGCTCCAGGCATAACCCAAGAACGCTTATACCTATGTACGCAAGCAGAGTGAAATATGAGTGGGCGGACAGGATGTGCAAGGTAGCTGGCTCACCTTTCGAGGATTGGTTCTCTCTTATCGTATTTATTTGCGGCACCTTGATCACCAAGCATGATGAGACTGTGATTAGGCTGAGCAAGTCGGCAATCACGAGCACTAAACCCTTGTCCAGGTACTCGGACACCACCTCGGACAGACCTCCAGCCATCTCGACGGTCAAACGAATTTTAATAGTTTTGCTGTGATTTATTTAAACGCAAACTTTCGATGACCGGCTGCTGGCTATCGATGAACGGCCTAGCTAACTCATCATCCATGGAGTGCCTTTATTCCAATTCCCAAAACATATCCTTACATCACAGCCACGAAAAATGTTGTAGTTGCGTTTTCCGGATTTCCAAATAACTAAACTTTTTCCGCGTATCGATTCATTGCACTGTTTAAGGTCGTATCACATTCGACTTTGCTAAATGTCTAACTGTAAATGGGCGTATGACATTAGACTAAACTGAAAATTCAGAGATTGCACGAGTGACACAGCGATAAATTAGTTCTGAAGTCCGTGCGTATCCCAATCTCACTCACACTGCATGCTATTTATGGCTGGTCCCACTCTTCAATTTAAGTGCAGTCCAATGCAACTGCAGCCAGGCAGTTAGCAAAGTGTCATACGGCCGTAACGACTCCATCGATAGTAATTTCACGCGATACCTGTGGTGTCTTCAAGATGATGGTTTCGTATATCGATAATTAATAAAAGGCAGGCTCGAGTCATTAGTTTTTTTCGTCTGTCCAAGTAAAATTTATGTTTCTAAAAATTAAATAAACAAAGTAAGGTTTAAACGGTACCACTCCAGAGTCTACAGTACTCCCCGGAGCAACGGCACAAATAAGTATGTGGAAATTCGATTAAACGTGTGCCCCGTGTAACTGTATGTGCGTGCGTTCGTGTGTGTGTGTGAGTGGGCTAAACGCAAAAAACTTTGAGCGGATGGAATAGTTAAATAATTTAACCAAATTGCAACTGTTTGCCTTGGGTATGATGCACAGAGTCAATTCGCTTTGCAGAACATTGTAAAAGTAAATTATAGAAGGGATAACGCAGCAAACTTTTCTCGTGGATGTCGTGACATTTGCTCTGTATGCGTATGTGTCTGTGTGTACAACAATGTTCACATTTTTCTTTTGTTGTTTGCTCCACGAATTATGGGGCTGGCTGGCTCGCTCTCCTCCATCACCATCGCTGCAGTGCAGGTGCAGAAAAGTGGGGTTAGGGCCAATAACTGAGAATGAAATGCAGCGGAAACTCTTAAATTGGCTAACTAAATATTTCATATATCGTAACTACTGGTCTATTATCTTCTAACTTAATTTCATGCATTTATAAAGTACATGTGTATGTGCGTATTTAGGGAGCAATGTGACGACTCCTCCCGTGTCTAAAAAATTCTTTGGGCCATCGTGCTGTGGCATGGGCTATCCTGCGGCACAGGTAAATGTAAGGCAGACTGTATGAATACGGCGTGAAAGCAGAGACCCCGAAGACCCTAAGCAACGTTTTTTGGGGGGAGGTCAACAGCCAATCACCGAAGGGTGGGAAGAGAAAGAAGGAAAATATATTCCCGAGAATACCTCTGCACATCTGATCTGTTGTCTGTTGTGGCGAGTGATGCAACAGCAGGAGCGCTGCTGAAAATTCCTTTGTGATCGCCCCTTTTGTTCGCCTCGGATGCTGATGCTGCCTTGCAATGGCTGCGCACCCTGCCCCTGCCCAGCCCATCTCCACTGGCAGCAGAGATCCCTTTTTCTACACGCTTTTGTGAGTGTGTTTGTGAATATGTGCCTCGTTTGTGTGCGATCGGTCTTTGGTTGGTTCCCTAGCTGCTCCCCGGTGATGATGCTGTGTGACAGACAAGGCACGAGATACACGAGACGACGATCTGCTTGCTCTTCCCAAGCCAGTCCCATGCGGAGGGAAAAGATAGCGGCTTGAATTGCAAGGTGTACGTGATGTTGTTGTTGTCGCTGCTGCTTCTGCTGTGTATCTTTTCTGCTGCTGCTTCTTCTTCTTACGTCCGTTACTTCTGGCTCTCTCGCCATCTCTTCTCCACAATACCTTTTTGCTGCCGCCTGCCCCGCCGCTTGCCTACCTGCCTCTTACTGTATACTGCATATGTGTATGCGTGCGAGCGTGTGAGTGTATGTGAGTGTCTTCTTTTTGTTGTAATACCCGTTTCGTCTTCTTTTTCCCATTCTACTTCGCGCCGTTTTAGCCTCTTCCGCCGATCCCCGATCCGATGCACTTTTGTGATTTCCTTTTTCGAGTTTTAACGACAACGTCGTCGGCGGCAGCGGCTGCCTTAAACAATTTTTCCCACTGCTTTTCATTTCTGTTCGTTTTTTTTTTTGCATCGTGTTGCGTGGGAATTTTTAGAGTTCTCCCCGAGCACAAAGGATAAGCATTGAAATTTATAAAATATACGTTTATTATAAGAGTGTCTATAATTTGCAGTAGGAAGTAGTACTAAAAGGTATCAAAATGGAAAGCAAATCTAGTCTGAAGCATCCTACTCCTTTCTCTCCGTTCCCCTCATAACCTGATATGGAATACATTCCTTAATGACCATCGTTGTCTTTGCAGGAGATAAAGGCAGCGAACTGGTGAACTGGTAAAGCGCGCTGCCCCGTTTCGTTTTGGATGCTCGTCAAGTATTATTATGGAACAAGGATGTCCTCCAGCTGCTAGCGGGAATTCCTGGACCAGTGCAGAGGAGGGGTGTACGGTCAGCGGCCAGCTCATTGAACTGAAGAGTCAGGCGGCGGCAGCGGCAGCGGCAGCGGTAGCGACGGCGACGGCAACTACCAGCCAGGAAGCAGGAGCAAAGACAGCAAGATCAGCTGTATCAGCATTTTTATCTATGTCAACTCTGAGGGAGGATGTGGAGGACGTGTGCGTATCGTCGAACTCTCAGCATGGCTTCGCAGTAGTGCTGGATGATGAGTCCAGCACCTCCGGGGTGCTGGAGACCTTTGAGATTAGCTCTTCCAACTCACTGCCCACCAGCACGAGGCCGGCATCTACCGTTGGCGTGGTGGTGGCCGTGGATGATAGCTCCTCCACAGACACCATTAACGACGATGACCATCCCTCCTCCGAGCACAGTCATGGGGGCTTCTTCAATGATAGTGAGGAGCCGCCGATTGTCTGCCTTATAAACGACGATGATGATGATGATGAAGAGGAGGAGGAGGACGTCGAGGAAGTGGAGGCAGATGTGGAGGATTTGGAAGAAGAAGATGAAGAGGAGCTGATCGAGGATTATGATGATGTGGAGGACATTGTGGCTGGCATCGACTGTCCAAACACATCACAAATAGCCCTGCCCGACGGCACCATCATGACCGCCGATGGCTCCAAAATCTTCCTCGAGACACCCGTCGTGGAGGAGGCTCTGCCGCATCCCCATCCCGATGGGACCGATGTACCGTCAGAGTTCGGCGATCAGGTCGGAAAACCGAAGCGCCTGAGCGACGAATTTATGCTTAACGAGGATCAGGTGGAAGACCAGCACCAGGAAGCACATCCACATGGAAGAGGAACCAAGTCTGAGCCAGGCAACTCCGACGACAGCCGGCCGGAGGCAGACGATGCCGCCACATCCACATCAGTCCATGACAGGCTGATGTCAGTGCGGCTGAGGCAGATGAGTCTCACCGCCAACGCCACGTCGAACCCCTCGCCAGCCGCATCGGCCACATCTGCCGCATCTGGTGGTGCGCAAGAGGAGGCCTCTGCATCCACATCTAGCTGCAGCTCCAACTCCAACTGCAACACCCAGCCCCTGTCCAAGGCGGACATCCAGTCGATGGATCTGATAGAGCGGCGCGACTTTGAGACAGAGCAACGTCTTACTGGTGGCATCATTCTGCGCACCAGCTCACTGCTGAGTCGGAACAAATTGAATCTAAGTCTGATCAAGTCCATGGGTGGCGGAGGGACAGCAGCAGGACCCGGAGCAAATGCCGGCGGAAGCGGCGGAGTCATCAGCAGCAGCAGCAGCGATGATTGGCCCAGTGGCAGCAACGGACGAACCGTCTCTTCGGACAGCAAGGTGAGTAATTTATCAATCAATATGGAAAGCCCCGAAAACAAGCAGTCGTAGAACTGTCAGTCTTGTAAATAGAGAGGGATCTCTAGAGATTATTCATTCCAAAGAACATTCCTTCGAATATAATAACTTAATAATTCCATTCCCTATCCATTCAGTGCACGTACAAGGATCTATCGACGACCCCCACGAGCAGCCGCAAGTATACCAACAGTCGGCTGAGCAAGTCCACTGCCAAACTGAATCTAGGATCCACCCTGGGCACATCCTCAACAGTGGGTGCAGCAGCGTCCAGCAGCTGCAGCCAGAGCACCAGATCCTGCACCATGCCGCAGTCATCAGAAGCGGCGGGCTCAGGAACCAGTTGTACGGGAGCTGCTCGAACGGATGTGTTCACCAATACCAATTCGAATGACGCTCCATCCACATCTACATCCACATCTACATCCACATCCACATCCACTTTGAGCTGTCAGGAGCAGGAGGAGAAACCTAGTGCATCATCATCCGCCCAGTCCATCTCCTTCAGCTCTGTGGGCTCGCAGACTTCTCAGGATGGCGGCCGCACATACGCTTTACACTCCACGTCATCATCCGGATCGGCCTGTTCCGGATCGGCAGTTGCCGATGATGCCCAGGCCTCGACGTCCACGTCAGCATCAGCATCCTCCTCCTCGACATCAGGCAGCACAACGCGACGTGAGTACGCAGCAAAGGCGACGCGCCAAGTGAACGCCAGTGCCCAGACACAGGAACGTCTATTTGCGCGCCTACCAGGTTGCGGCGGCGTGGCCGGTGTAGCAAAGACATCGGGCGGTGCTGCAGCTCATGCATTGGTCACACGTCAAAGACGCAATGGCTCCAACGATGTCATAGTCCTGGAGGTTGTAGTCGAAGAGGGCGCCGCGGGTGCAGCTGGAGCCAACAGCAGCAACAACAACGTCGTAGATGGTGGTCTGATCGAACCGGGAGATGGCGATGAGTCGTGGTTCAACTGCGATGAGGAGAACAACTCGGATTTGGAGGAGATTTGTACGTGCCAGAATGGCAATAGTGGCTACAGCAGCGGCAGCAACGGCAGCCTCAGCGAGCCCTACGACATGGAACCAGTGGAGTACGACGAGCCCATCTCATTTTCCACATCCTCCTCGGCCATTGGCGACGGCGGCTCCTCCACCGCATTCACCAATACCGGAACATTGATTTCTCAACAGCGCAAGCGCAAATACAACGAAGTGCGCATTCTCGAGGGCTGTGAGTATTCCATGGCCATCTCGGCCAGCGGCGGCATTGGCGGTGCTGGCTTTGGAGTCGGCGATAATAGCCGCAAGCGTATTGCCTACGATTTTGCATCCACTCCACGCTCGTCGTCACAGCACTTGGGCCCCACAGCGGTGCTGTCGCTTACGCCATCGCTGGTGTCCAACGCCAGCACCACGACACCGATTGGGCGTCGTACACCCCGCGGGGTGTCCGCCCGTGACAATCCGCCGCCAGAGCTGCAGCACTGGCTGCAACAGTTCCAGCGCTGGTCCCATGTGGAGCGTCTGCTGGCCGTCGATCGTCTGATTGACCATTGCGATCCGTCGCAAGTGCGTCACATGATGAAGGTGATCGAGCCACAGTTCCAGCGGGACTTTATTTCGCTGCTGCCTCGGGAGATAGCCCTGTTGGTGCTGTCTTATCTGGAGCCGAAGGATCTGCTGCGTGCTGCCCAGACGTGTCGCAGTTGGCGCTTCCTCTGTGACGACAATCTTCTGTGGAAGGAAAAGTGCCGCAAGAGCCAGATCCAGACGGAATCGCGTAGCGACCGACCAAAACGGGGACGCGATGGCAACATGCCGCCCATCTCATCGCCATGGAAGGCCGCCTATATGCGGCAGCACATCATCGAGATGAACTGGCGCTCGCGACCCGTGCGCAAGCCGAAGGTGCTGAAGGGCCACGACGATCATGTCATCACATGCCTGCAGTTCTCTGGCAATCGTATTGTGTCCGGTTCCGATGACAACACCCTCAAGGTGTGGTCTGCAGTCAATGGAAAGGTAAGTGAATCTTAATTTATTAACTCTCTCCGAGCTCTGGTCTGAAGTGATTTCTTTCTTTAGTGCCTACGCACACTGGTGGGCCACACTGGTGGTGTTTGGTCGTCGCAAATGTCTGGTAACATCATCATCTCGGGCAGTACGGATCGCACGTTGAAGGTTTGGGATATGGACAGCGGTGCCTGTGTACACACACTCCAGGGGCACACGTCCACTGTGCGATGCATGCATCTGCATGGCAATAAGTAAGTGAAAGCAGCAATCGAAGCTCTGGAGCTCGTTACTAATCACCGTTTTGTCTCTCCAGGGTGGTCAGTGGCTCTCGAGATGCCACCTTGCGGGTCTGGGACATCGAGTTGGGCTCCTGTCTGCATGTCCTTGTGGGCCATCTGGCGGCTGTGCGTTGTGTACAATACGATGGAAAGCTTATTGTGTCCGGAGCGTACGATTACATGGTCAAGATCTGGCATCCAGAGCGGCAGGAGTGTCTGCACACGCTTCAGGGGCACACAAATCGCGTTTACTCGCTGCAGGTACTAAAATAGAGATACCCATCGATGAGCATGGTATAATAATACTGTGGTTTCCCCTTTAGTTCGATGGTGTCCATGTGGTGTCGGGTTCCCTGGACACGTCCATTCGTGTGTGGGATGCGGAAACGGGCAATTGCAAGCACACTCTGATGGGCCATCAGAGCCTGACGTCGGGCATGGAGCTGCGCCAGAACATACTCGTCTCTGGCAATGCCGACTCCACTGTCAAAGTGTGGGACATCACAACTGGACAATGTCTGCAAACGCTGTCGGGTATGGGACATGGCTGAGCATCTTAAGAATCCCTGCTAATTCTGCTTTCAATTTTCATTCCAAAGGTCCCAACAAGCATCAGTCCGCGGTCACTTGCCTGCAATTCAATTCACGATTTGTGGTCACCAGCTCGGACGATGGAACTGTCAAGTTGTGGGATGTGAAGACGGGCGATTTTATACGCAACCTCGTTGCTTTGGATTCGGGTGGCTCTGGTGGTGTTGTGTGGAGGATTAGGTAAGCGCTATAATCATTTTGTTTAGAGGAAAGAGTGGGATCTAACGCTCTGATGCTGTAATGATTTCAGGGCAAATGATACAAAGCTGATTTGTGCGGTTGGCTCACGCAATGGGACAGAGGAAACAAAGCTTATGGTCCTGGACTTTGATGTGGAGGGCGCTTGTGTCAAGTGTTCATAGGAGCCACTCAATAGGCTGCAGCTGCAGCGACCACGTCTGCTGATCTGCATTGGTATGGGTAGCAGCGTCGTCAATCGAGATTTCACTCAAGGAACAAACAACAAAACATTTGGAGCCACGATTTACACACAACCACAACAACAATCATCCAAACATCAGAGGTACACATACAGCGGATGGGTGAATCCGTAACGTAACTTAATGTAACGTAATGTAAATGTTAACGCTTGCCTTGCCAACAAAAATTCAGCTGCTAACATATATCCACACACACTACACTCTTACACCACACACATACACGAACATATTGTGAGAGAGCGAGAGACGCGCCAGATTGGCGTGGTTTTTTTTAGAGGTTGGGAGGGGGTGTGGCTGTGAGGAGTAGAGCGGAGAGGAGAGTGTGTCTTGTTAATAATTTGTTTCTTTAATTAACGTTGCTTTATAGCCAAAATTCGTTTTCCACCGTAGAATAATTTTTTGCTCCTTAGTTTTTATTACCATTATATACATACATAGCATACAAACATACATTTAGATATATAGAGATCGAGGAACAGCATACGAGTATATTAGTTAGTTGTCGGTCTGATGAAGTGCGTCTGGAAAAGAATATAATATTAGGTATTACGAAATTTTATGCATACAATTACAGTTAACAGTTTACAGCTACAGAAGAGAAATATTTTCGAGTTGAGGCCCTGAAAGAGAGAGAAAGGCGAGCGTTTCGTTTATGAAAAACACAGCTTTATATTGATTAAATTGGTATTTGCTTAATTTGAATTTAAAGATGATTAATGATTATGATGAATGATGTATATGTTAATATTTGCACTTGATTTGAGATTGAGTTTTCGTGCCGTTTATGCCGATTATGTTATAAATTTAGTTGTGGTTCCCGTTTTTTGTTTTAACTGTACCCCACGTAGTACCACGTGTGTCCATGTATCCATGTTGTAATTATTTAATTGGGTTTGATTCGACTCGATTCGATTCGACACCACACCACCATCCCATTGGGGTAATTCCAAATTCCATGTGGGTGCGGGGAGTGCGCCTTCATTTGATTTTGACTAAAATTCCTCATTTGCCAGGAACCTGCCACAATTGCCGTATATACATATATAGCGTTAAGAAGAAGAGTCATCCCGTTAGTAGTCTCGTGAAGAGCAGCTCACACCCACACACACATACACACAAAAAAACACACGCTGACACTTATACACACCACATGCATGCATACGTACATACATACATACATGAAATCATCAAGCGAAAAACATATATTTTAATTATAGACTGATTTATTAGTAATTGAAATTAATCTACAAATATGTATGTGTAAAACGGTACCGTATGTATTTCAATAAATTTATCGGTTTAAGCATTGAATAAACGCAGGAATAACAATAAAAACAAAAAATAATAGTTAATACCATCATAGACATCTGTATGTGTATTGTACATATTTGCTTCTGATTGCTACTTTATTTGTTCAAATAAAAATCAAGAGGCAGGGGCGGATATGTACTAATATAAGAAAAATATTGAATACTTTGCAGTAAAACTATTTATTTTATTATAAACCTATAAATGGACGTTGGTTTCACACTCCTCCCACGGCCATAGGCCACTCTGGAGACGTTGGAGATGCTTTACTCAGTTGCGAGGTTACGAATTCATCGATGTGTGGAACTTTTATACAGATTATTTACTTGGAAATCATTTCAAAAAACAAATCACTTCATTCACGATTCAACTTTAATTGTATGTTACGCTAACTAGAAAAATAAGCTAAATGCAAAATCAACTTCATGAACTACAGAACAGTGCTTTAGATCTTTGTCTTCTTGCTACTGTGCCCCTCGATGCCGAGGTTGCAACGCGAGGCAACATCCTGGACGGAGGTGACCGTGCTGGGCAGGGCGCTAATAACGCCCATAGCCGACATCGTGCCATTGCTGGGACGCTTTCGCGTTGGTGAATGGACGGGTGACTTCTGCTTGAGGCACTCCACGTCGTTGAACACCACCTGTGCACCGCCGCCACATGTTGGTATCACATTGCCCTTGTACAGCTTCGTCTCCACATCACCGTCGGTGTCGGCCTCCTGTGAGACAAGGCAGTATTTGTTGGCGCCGTGCTCGGTCAGCGTCTTCATGTCCGTCAGCTTGGTAACCGACTTGCGATTCTTCAAAAAGGGCTGCATAATTGTACCGAGTGGCACGGGATTGGCTGCACGATGTTCCAGCCATTTGTCGCCAGCGGAACGCGAGCGTCGATGTCGGTTGTTGGCAGCTGCCACGCCCTGGATGGATGGATGGATTTAGAGACATTAGATTATAGCTGACAGAGCAGAAGGACAGAAGGCTTACATGTCGAGGCGTGGCATAGATGTCTGTTCGCGTGGCAGGCACAGATGACTCCGTTCGAGCAGTGAATGGGCCGCGATCCTTGTCGTTGAGCAAATCCTCCGAGCTCTGCGAACGAGGCATGCTCGGCAGATCCTCAGACTGTAGAATATTCGAAACCAATCGCAGTTTCTCGTCCTTAATGCGCATACGTTCGTGCAGTTTCTCCCGTTGTTGGCGGAGCTTTATCTCCAGTTCCCGCTTGTTCTTATCCGACTCCACTGCCATTTTGGAGCTGAACTTTTTCTTCTGCTTCTCCTTCTCGTGCTCCTTTTGAGTAAGGAGGTTCTCCTTCTCATTGAGTTTGAATGTCAGCTCCTCGATCTGCCTGTCCCGCTTACTCAACGTATTGTTCAGCACATCGATGGAGCTCTCATGAATTCGCACCTTCTTTTCCAAGGCCGAGCTGCGGTCGCGCTCCTGCTTGTAGACGGCCTTCAGGGAAGCTAGCTCCGTGCGCAGCTGCATGTTGTCTCGGTCCAAGTTCATCAGCATCTGACGAAAATTGTCGCCTACAAGTAAACAAAATTAATTAGAAGGATTCCCTTTAGAGAAGTGGAAGCTGTACGACTAACATTTGATATCCAAATTTCCGCGCAGTCTCTTGCGCTTCTCAATGCGCTGCTCCAGGTAATGCATGAGCTCCTGGATCTTGAACTCTGCCTCAGGGCTGTCCATTTGATAGGTGGGAAAATCGGGTCCCAGACTGTAGACCAAAGCCACATCCACTTCCAGGTCCTTGGCCTCGGGAATGCCCAGCTCGTTCAGATTGTTGACTGCAATCTTGAACAGCTTGTTGGCCTTGCGGCGGCCTGGTGTCAGGCCCAAGTCCATTTTCATAGGCGTGGCCCGTGCTATTTGCACTTCCTGAGTCATCTCTGCAAACTTCATAACTTGCTGCAAAGTAAAAATATAAGTTTTGAGCAACAGGGGAAGACAGAGTAGCCGTAGCTAGCTCCTACCATATTCTCGTCATAGTCCTCCATTCTTGGATTGATGCAGACGATCATAGACACTTGGCCCTCGCCGTCAAAGTAATTCTTAAACATGTGCGTGATCTTCGATTCGCGATATGGTATCTTCTTGGGGGCAAAGCCATTGCTGGTTGCCTGCTGATTTTCGCGCAGATACTCGAGGCATTTGCGCAGCGTCATCAGTGAGTTGTTGATGTTTCCAGCCTCGCGAAGCCGCTCCCCAGTGTTCTTGGTACGCGAGGAGCGCTCACTGCCGGCCAGATCAACCAGGGACAGCTGGCTGACTGTGATGTTATGCCTGTCCTGTACAACATTCTCCCCCTGGCTGTCGGTGGGCGCCTGGACGAGCCTTATGTTGAACACCGAGTGGCTGCGACTGGACTCAGCATTCAGGACCGTGTGGCCCATGCGCTTTTTCTTTTGTCCCATTTGAAAGATATCTAAGGCATCCTCCACCGTTTTCACCTCCACCTCGGTGACGCCATGGACGAACATGTGGTGTTGGGCATCCTCGCGAATTATTTTGCTTTGCAAAGTCCTGCAAATAGTTGATTACTTACTGGCACACTCCAAGGATAGGATATCTCTGCCACTTACTTCTGTATGCCCGAGTCCTCTAGGAGATCATACACACTGTTGTTGTATATTTCTATGTAGGTGACAAACACCGAATACATGTTGTCCTCGTCGAGGCCTAGTAGGGGCGTTGGCTCCACCGACGCTTGCGAGGCTATCTCCGGATCCGAATCCTTGTTTCGATATGCAAAGCGACCGGAGCCGGCAAAACGCAGGTTCATCTCTTGCTGCCTCTCCAGCAGAGCATCCTCTTCGGACAGAATCTCGAAACCATTCAGCTTGTCCGGCTTGAAGACAAATTTCTTTGCCTGAAAATCGGATATGGTACGAAATAGCACGTCCAGGCAGCGGGGCATTATGCCGCGATGCCTCAGGTTGCCAGTCATTGTGTACGTCTTGCCGCTGCCCGTGACACCATAGGTAAACAGCAGACTGTTCCGCCCACGCACTAGGTTCTCGACCAGTGGCTGTGCAACGGACGCGAACACATCCTGCTGCGTGGCATCCGACTGAAAGACGTGCTTGAATATGTACTGTATCTCGCGCTGGGCGCCGTTCTGTTTGTGGTGCTGCAGCAGCTGATCCTGCGGATTCAGTGCGATTGTCGTGGAGTTCTTCACCCGCAGAGAGGTGAGGTCCGCATCCGATTGGAGCGGGCGGACGCGACAGAACACATTTACCGGATCCTTTGCCTTTTCCGCCGTGTCCCGACGTTGTTTCTCTGTCGTTTGATGCACTCGAGGTGTCTTAGCGACGCGCATCGGCGTTCGTGAACTGCAAGTCGATTTTCCATGAATTATGATGCACACTTTTCAGCTCTCGCATTCTACTTACACTGCCTTCATTTTAAAGTAATTTTATTTCACTCAAATAACTCCGACGCTCTGTGTTTTTCACAAATTTGTTTTTTTTTCGATCGTTAGCTTCAAATTTCAAGCGCCAAGCGACGCCACGCTTACTTTGTCGGTATGTTTTGCTCGGTGTGACCGCGGAATTGCCGATAAAATATACCGACAGACCCTCGGAAATATGCTGAATATACCCTTTCATTTTCAAAATATACTGTAAATATACCGTAAATCTAAAATCCCTTTTTTATCTTCTGTTTAATATTACCAGCTGATTAGGACTCCCAGCTTTAAAACTGTTATTTTAATTGAACAGCATTCGATTCTCCACAATATTGGCTGATTTTCATGACTGATGAGTCCTGGCGCCTTTTTCTTTGAAAAAATCAAAAATAAATAACATACTCGACATATGTGTTTATTATCGATAGTTTAATTAATCGTTTTGACCTTTTTAGTTTTAAACTTAATTTGGAAACATTCCAAGAAAAGGGTGTCGCGAAAACTAGCCAATCTTTTTACCTACCTATCTAATAATATAAAAAAACAACATCAAAATCGAGGAAAATAATTTACGGTATATTTACAGTATATTTTGACATTTCGGTATATTTCCGAGGGTCTGTCGGTATATTTGATCGAAAATTACGCGGTCACACTGAAGCAAAGGCACATTTAAAAAATGTAAATATAGAAATAGTTAAGATAAGCATTTTAATCATTTAAAACCTTAGTAAATAGTCATGGCTGAAGCCGCAGCATGTTTATTGCTGTACAAATACAAGGCGGTATGTACTAAGCAGACTGGTACAATTTTTAGCACTCCATGTGGCGTCTGTTGCATCGTTTGGATGATCAGATCAACACAGATATTCATAGATGGCGAGATAAGGGACCATGATGTCCTAGACGAGGATGAACAGTCACTCATTGATCACTCGCGACACGCAGAGAAATCAGTTCGTACTGCTGCTAGCTTTGACTTCATCTAGCATCGGAAGCTGAACCGCCATATGATCCTCTACTGCACTGTGCTTGCCTCGGCCAAGAAAGACAGTGAAAGCCAGCGGAAACGCAAAAGATGAGGGAATAAGGCACTCGCAAGTATCCCGCAGTAGCGGGAATGGGTAAGTCTATTGCTAGCCAGCACGCGGGTTCAGCGATTCGTTGCAAACATTGAGATGGGCCATTCGCCTGGCATGTGCCAGCTGCTCTTTTTTTACATGGTCTTGTTTTGTGTGTTTTCAGAAAATCAAATCCGATTTCGTTATCATGGAGCTGAAGGATGAGGATCTTGCAGCTCTCCAAACACACACATTGGCCGATGTGATAGCGGTGTCGTACCCCAACATTTATCTCAACTTCTTGGTGGCCAACTGGAGTGTGAGCGCGACGTCATTGCAACCATCCTCCCGCAGATTTGGTCGCAAGATATGCTAAGGATACACAATGTACACAAACATGTCCTTTATGTCCTTGCATCCGGAAGGATTGAAATCCATCAAGGACCTCAAGGACTGCAGGATACGTCTGTTTTACCTGAAATTAGGCCATAATTTTTAAAATAAAAGGACCCCCTGAAAGAAAATGCATAAGTTCCATCAGCATTATCCGAGCATTGTGAAAGTAGCTACACTTTTTATTGATATACAAAATCTACATATTTTTTTAATGTTGTGTATGTTTTGTGTTATAATCTTAACCTGTGCTCTAATCCGACTTGGCATTATTCTGAGTGGAAATCGGTAACTTCGATGTGGAACTAGTTATCCAGATCAAAGGTACACCCAAGTTTGCATGAATCAACGACCCATCAACGTTTCTGCGGGAAGAGGGTTGTGGTGACGGGGCATTCACGCTCCAACTGGAACACATAGGTTTCCCAATGTTGGGATATCGATTGGCGAACCGGGCTCATCAGCCATCCGTGAATCTTAGAGCTGCGAGAGACGCGTTCGTTTTCGATTTTCTGGAAAACAACAAACGGGAATACATACATATGTAAAAAGAAAGCTACTACCAGAATCAATACACAACTTACCTTCTCAGTGCACCGCTTGATCCTATATGCATACGAATCCTTGCTCATGGCCAAGGTAACCATCCGATCCTGTCCCAATGGAAAGCATTTGAGAGCATTTCAGCTGTCAACATCCACATGTGCTTCCTATCGCTCAATCAACCTGCGAACTGCCAATACTTGCAGCTAAACTGCAGATGTACTGCAGTTCTTCGGTGACAGGGTACAGTACAGATTTAAGGTCTTGGACATGTCCTAATTCCGTTGTGCGCTTATTAGCGATGCAATTTGGGATTTGTCGCTGCTTTTGTTGTTTTGGTAACCAGGGCTGTAAAACGAATAATGGAACTATCAATAAGAAGAAATATCGAGTATATTATTACCATCTGACAAAAACTCGAAGCCATGAAACGGAGGAGATAAGGTTCGAACTTAAAGGCTCTTTCAATGCAGCCTTTTTCACCTTCTTCGTTGATCTTTATTTCGACTGTTCAAGGGGGTCTGGCATTTCACGAATGACCTGTAGGTATATTGCCACAATATTATGCATGTTATTTTCTTTACTTTTATATTTACCTAATATTTTAGAGATGACAGCATATTCTTGACGTCGACCAGGGCTGCGTGCTCGACCAAAAAGAAGAAGCGAATTGGCGGCAGCTGTTCGCTCGGCCTGAAAACAAATCGCCTACAAAAGATTAGTCCCAATTGGAATTAAAATCCCACAGCGTTTGACAACAATTACAAAAAATCACCTATCACAATTGGAGTCTATGATAAGCACTTCGGTTGGAATTTCAAAACAATTTAAAAAAATCGGTAAAAAGTTTTGGGTTCGTGTGCGCTCTGCTAGGTGTTTCGCCGGTAAATAAATGTAGTGTTCTCTTTATTTTAACAGAAAAACAATAATAGATGAGCGCTGTGCTTGTGCGCTTGTGAATGTCGGATAAATTAAATGTATTGACAGACAGTGTTTGCGGCGTTTCTTCAGTACTTGTGTGGGTATCTGTGTGTGTGAGTGTGTGTGCTACTTTCTTCCGCCTTGGCCTGTAAAGCCCAGAAGAGATAAATATTTAGCTAAATTTATAAATAAACCCAAGTAAACAATCTCGTTCCCTTGTTTGAGAGGGTTTTCGACTCACTTTTCAATTGATTACTTACGAAAACTAGTTTGGTTTATTGACCACCGAGTGCAGATTCCACCACGCAGCTGTCTGTCAACAATCAACCGACAATTACAGTGCGTTGTCTCTGCATTCCATCCTCCCAACTGAGGGTCTGTAGGGGAGAGAACTGATTTCACAAATTTCTCTAACAGGTTAACAAACTCACACTTTAGTTTTGAAGCATAGAAAATTTGCGGGCAGTGAACGGTGTGTTAGTTTTTCAGGCCCTTATCTTGTACGTGTGGCGCGAACTTCATTCCCGAATCAATTCGAATGCTGATAAAAACCCTTGAATTGAATGGCCATAGACATGTCGCGAGAAGGTTGTTATCGCTTGTCCTTGGCCTATAATTCAATGGGTCAACTGGTATACAGCCGCAAAAGCCAACGCTTAACAAACATGCAATTGTTTGTTCTTTGTAAACGCTCTGTTTACAGAATTAATAATAGAATAACTCTCTAAAGTGATTTATTACACAACTAATTTGATCAAAATTGTTATGCCAATTGTGTGTTGGCAAAGATACATATTTATCTCATTTATCAAGAATCTCAATTGTAAATGAATCATATGCCAAACAATGCAAAACTCATTTGTCCCTATATGCCTTAATTGTTTAGAACGATTTGATCACGTTTTCAGCGAACCCAACAATACTCTCAACTCTCGCACTTGTTGAGCTAATTGGGGCCGGTCGTGTGATCAATGAGTCTGTTGATCACAGTTCTTGCAGCACGCGAGCAACGATCGCACCGTCTCTCTGCTCATTCTTGGGCCAGACAGTGCCCAAAGCGTTCGGTTCGGGATCGAATATTCGTTGAATTTCTTGCAGCTTAGAACGCAATCGAACGTGCTTAGCGGTTAAACAACAACGAAACATTTGTGCAAATAATTACGTGAGTTCGACAAGGGGCTTAGAAATTGGAGTGTTGAAACTACTAAAGGCATGGATGGCCTGGCATTGGTTGAAATGCCTTCAAAGTGGTCGGATCACGCATTCTTAATGTCATCAGCCAAGTGTTACCCCGGACGAAATAAGTGTACTCACATGTGTTTCTATAAAAAATAATCCCTCAGTCTGCACATATCACTCGAGTCTCCATATCAAGTTAAATTCTACACTATTTTAATTTCACTCAGATTATGCAAAATGTATCCAACCTAATCCCTCTATTTTGTAGACATTTCTTCTCTCCCTACCCAACTCTTCAACATTTCCATTTAATTTGCTAATGGTCAATAGCATTTAGATGGGATTTTCTATCAGCTAGACGATATTTATGACTATGCAAAGTGCGTGTTGTGCTGGTCAAGTCGTTGAACCTCAGTGTTAGATCTTTAGAAAAGCCCCAGGCAAATTACAATACCGGCATTGTTCACGATCCTCTGACGTGAATCTCAATTCTGCTGATGAGTTTGTCTTATTATATCAATATCTCTTTTCCCTTTTCTAATTGTAGACCAATCAAAAATGACCCTGAAGGAGTGGGGATATCGATTGTTTCCGGGTCTGAAGTGGCTTCACGGCTATACCGGGCAAGATGCGTTGGCCGATATGATAGCCGGAGTGACGGTTGGACTGACGGTACTGCCGCAGGGACTGGCCTATGCCACACTGGCGGGACTGGAGCCTCAGTACGGCCTGTACTCGGCTTTTGTGGGCGGGATTGTCTACGCTCTGCTTGGCAGCTGTCGACAGGTGACCATTGGGCCGACGGCTTTGCTCGCTTTAATGACCAGCCGGCACACTGGATTCGGACTGGGCTCGGGACCAGCCTACGCCATCCTTTTGTGCCTCATCTCCGGTGTAGTGGAGCTGGGCATGGCTGTGCTGAAGCTGGGCGCACTGGTGGACCTCATTTCACTGCCGGTGACAGTGGGTTTCACTTCGGCGACGGCTGTCATAATTGGCACATCCCAGCTCAAGGGTCTTTTGGGATTACGTGGAGGATCTGGATCGGATTTCATCAATACCATGCGCTCCGTATTGGGGAACCTGAGCCAGGTGCGACGCGGAGATTTTACCCTGGGACTGGTTTCCATTTCGGTTCTACTGCTGTTGCGGGTGAGTTTGTCTCGTGCGTACTCGAACTTTATCTATAACGAAAACTCTTCTGAACAGAAACTGAAAGACGTGAAGTTTGTTGGACGACTGCGGAGCTTGAGGGCCCAGCAACTGATTAGCGGCACCATTTGGGTGATAGCCACTGGTCGAAATGCTCTTGTGGTTCTCGTCACCAGTGTGCTGGCCTACAGCACATGCGAGCAGATGGACTCCTGTCCGTACATCCTCACGGGAAAGGTGAAGAGCGGGCTGCCTAACATCACGCTGCCCAAGTTTGAGACCACCATTCTGGACAAGAATGGCACAGAGCTTACGCAAAACTTTGAGCAAATGGTAAGAATCACGAAAAATCAAGGCACAGCTCACTCTCTGTCTTTTTAGGTCTCGGAGCTGGGACCCTCGATGCTGATCTTGCCCATAATTGCTGTGCTCGGCAACGTGGCCATCTCCAAAGCCTTTGGCGGGGCTGGGCTGAGTCCCACCCGGGAGCTGGTTGCCCTCTCGATGAGCAACATTTGCGGTGCTTTTTGCAGCTCCATGCCGGTCACAGGCTCCTTCTCGCGCAGCGCTGTCAATCATGCCAGTGGCGTGCGTACACCCCTTGGGGGCTGCTACACAAGCGTGCTGGTTCTTCTGGCTCTGGGACTGCTGGCACCGTACTTCCAGTACATACCGAAGGCCGCCCTCAGTGCGGTCATCATCTCGGCTGTGATATTTATGATCGAGTTTGAGGTCATCCGACCACTGTGGCGTTGCAGTCGTCGAGAGTTGCTGCCAGGTGCCATTACCTTTGTGATGAGCCTGGCTGTGGGCGTGGAGATTGGTCTGTTGCTGGGCGTTGGTGCGGATGTTGCCTTTCTGGTCTACCGCGCAGCACGACCTGTTCTGAGTGTGTCCAAGCTGCAAACCATCAATGGCATCAACTACATACTGATTCGTCCCAAGCACAGTTCGCTCTACTTTCCTGCCATCGAGTGGGTTCGCTCTGGCATCTCTAAGGCCTTGACGACGCATGGAACAGCGCCGGTGATCCTGGACTGCACTCATGTGCACGGTAAGCTTTAGGCTAGCAATTGGCTTGTATACTCTTCTGAAGCTTATGCTCTTTCTTGCAGATTTGGATTTCACAGCCGCACGTGGCATGGGCTCGCTGCACAAGGAGCTTGCTAAGGCGAACGTTCCCTTCTTCTTGATGAGCGCGCACAAAGATATCGGCGTCATATTGAAGGAGTCAACCAGCATTGATTTCCCCACGATAGACGGTGCGGATGACTTGGAATGCATTCTGGAACAAAGTGAGTACCAATTGAGCTCACCCACTTGCACATCTTGCTATCTCCCCCATATTCCTGACTATGGCACTTATTTCCTTTCATTTACAGCTTGCACGTCTGTTTAATCACCTGCCACACACCCATTATCCACACTCCATTCGCACGCACTCCATTTAGCCACCTAGTTTTGATTTGGGTTTAGCTCTGTAATTGGAATTTTCTTTTTGCAGCGCCCGACTACGAGCTGCACTTGCATATTGCAGCTCCTCTCGTCGACTCTCGAATTAGCCATGGAATAAGCGATGCCAGTGAAGCGTGCAGCCCAACCGAGCTAAGTAGGCTCAATGGAAAATCGACTTGAAAAGCTCACATGAAGCTCATTTGAATGTACTTAAGTATACGTTTCACACAATGCAGCACAAGTAGTTGTAAGGGTCACTTTAAAATCTTCAGACGCCTGGCAAACAATATTTGTTTTCCCACACAAAGATTGGCCTCTCGTATTACGAAGCTCTCTAGCCTTCCACTATCACCATTTAATTTACAATTGTCATTCCTATTTCCCCATTTTATAGTATTCGAATAGACTAGGCATAAAATTGTATATACAGATAGTTAAGCTTATAACTGTTTTCAAATTTGTTCGTATTTGTAGCTACTTTTATACTAAATTTTTTATAACTGAATCAAAGCCGTGCATTGTTTTTTCGATACAATCAAAATACAATCCTTCCTCATCGGAAGAGTGCCTTTATTTTCTGGGTTTTTGAGTGGATCCTTTTATGATGCGTGTGTGAAAACAAACTCGGTTTGATAAATAATAAAAAAAAGTTTACTTTTACTTCCATCTCGACCGCAGATTAAAATGGAAAAACCACATTAAAGCAAAAAGTCAACAACTTAGACTTAAACACTACAAATGTCCTGGTTGATAAGTCGAAAATCAGAAACAACTTTGGAAAACAAAATTCGCCTCTACAAATCCATACTGAAGTTTGGACCTACGCTATACAGCTCTGGGGGGCTGCTAGCTACTCAAATATTGAGATACTTCAGCGTTACCAATCAAAAACTTTGCGACACATTGTCAATGCTCCGTTTTACGTATCTACTGCAAATATCCACAAAGATCTTAGTATTCCAACCATTAAAGAAGAAATAAAGGTAACTAGTAAGAAATAGATCGACAGACTCCACAACCACGAAAATAATTTAGCCTTAAGTCTATTAGACAATAGCTTAACAGTAAGAAGACTGAAAAGATACCGCATTCTCGATCTCCCCGATAGATAAATCCAACAAACTGAAAAGATGTTATATATAATAGCAGGGCTCATTGGAAAACTGCTATTTCTGTTAATTTAATGTTAATTATACAATTTACTTATTGTTTAAACGAACAGATTGTAAATATAAAAAGAGAGAAAAAAACAAAATTTTACTTCCAGTAGCTTATATTTTGCCAGTGAACGAGTGCTCATTGCCTTGTCAGAATTTCAATATTTAAATTTAGTTCATTAAGAACAGGTTTGTGTTCCGTAATTTACCCAAAATTGTAGTATTTAAAATGAACAAAAAATTGTGTAACAGTATGTTGTTTAAGAAAAATTTTGATTTAGTCACGGAAACTTCTCAATCTTCCGGTATAATGTCGAGCATCCGTGGTCTGAGAGAGAAGGAGCGTGAGGTGCTGAATGAGTGGCTTGTTGAAAATAAAATTGTGCTGGATGCCCGTACACGGCGCGAGTTCTCGGACGTGCTGCCAGTGGCAAAGATACTGAAGAATAAGTACGGCCGCCTGGTGCAACTTCAGTACTATGTTCCCCGCAGCAGCCAAGCGCTGAAGTTGGTCAATTGGATTGTATTCAATGAAAAGGTTCTCAAGTGCTTAAATGTCAATCTGTCGAGGGAAACCATGGAGGATCTGGCTAGAGGTAGTGCTTGGGCCCTCGATTCGCTGCTATATTTTGTTGCAACTGGCAAGAATCCGGGCTTGGGACGCTTCGTATCCAAACCGCGCTCATACAGCATGCCCAGGCGGCAGCTTATTCGCAGTGACCCGGACTGTGCCTCTCATCCATGTCTCTTTATTAATAAAAATTCGTTCAAGAATGGGTTTTAAGAGGTACGTGTTACTTTCTCTCTAGTCTTTAGACTGTAACTGTAAAAATTCTTTGAATTTACAGATGATGACACTATTTCAAAAAAACCGCCTAAATACGTATGGCAGCAAATATTTCACCTTCTTATTTATACTAGTTGGCCGACGGAACTAAAGACATGACCGCCGAAGTCGTGTTACTTATCTCAAATAGTACACAAAAGTCTATTGAGTCATCAAACAATTGCTTTTCCTAAATCCAAAGGAAATTAAAAATAATAAAAAAATATAGTGTGATGAATTTAATCATTATCCGGTGTTCCTTAGCAACATAAAGGAATAATTATAATGTACAAACCGAAGAATATCCCCAATTATGTTGTAAAGATAGAAGAACTGCCTCCAAAACCACGCCTAGCTTATTATAATATTTACTTATGGTTTTTTTCCTCTTTTGTTAGCGCTATTTTTCTCAATATTTTTCAATGTTATCAGTTAACATGCATACATGTGACTCTGTTAATAATTGACATACATTTACATACTGAAGACCTTGCTTCCAGAAGGGTTGATTTGAATGAAAAACTCAAGTACAAATTTGTAAAATACAAGGTCATAAGGCAAATAATCCAATAAAAAGGAGTATTTATAATCAGAAAAATTGATTCTTCAATCGGATTATTTTATTGTTTCAGTGGTGAAAATCTGTTCAAGTTAGTAATATCAAGTAGAACATAAAAATCATCAAATACAATTTAAGACAACGGTATATTTTAAAAATGAAAAAGCATATTTCGGTATATTTTCTATATATTTGGTCGCGGTCACACTGGATATAGTCTTCCTTCCCTTTTTTTCCCTTCTTTCGCCTTTCGCCAACCGCAACGTACGTACAAATTTCCATTTGTGTAAAATTAAGAAAATATATAGTTTAAGAGTAGAAAACATGTGAAATGTTGTTAGACAAGACTGTGTAAAGCATCAACGAGCACCTTAATAGATAAAGCGGGGCGAAAACTATTGGGATGTTTGAAATTGAAGGAGATTGAAATCTAACCACACATTTGCTTTGCAGACGGTTGAATTGTTGGAATCATGGTAAACGGCCGCATACCGTCGGTCTTCTCGAAGACCTATGTGACTCCTCGTCGCCCCTATGAGAAGGCGCGTCTGGATCAGGAGTTGAAGATCATTGGCGAATATGGTCTTCGCAACAAGCGTGAGGTGTGGCGCGTCAAGTACGCCCTTGCCAAGATCCGTAAGGCTGCTCGTGAGCTGCTGACCCTTGATGAGAAGGACGAGAAGCGTCTTTTCCAGGGTAAGTGGTGGAGATGAAAAACTTCGCGTGTGGCATGTGACATGATGAGCTGTATTAAATAATATAATTTCTGACACTTCTTGTCTGAACAAATCATTGACGTTAACCAATACACACTGAAGGTGCTCCCAAACATGTGGTTACTGTGCAATTCTCGAATCGGTATTAATTTGTCGCATTCTTCTTTCTACAGGTAATGCCCTTCTGCGTCGTCTGGTGCGCATTGGTGTCTTAGACGAGTCTCGCATGAAGCTTGATTACGTGCTCGGTCTGAAGATTGAGGATTTCTTGGAGCGTCGTCTGCAGACCCAGGTCTTCAAGCTTGGATTGGCCAAGTCCATCCATCATGCCCGTGTGCTGATCCGCCAGCGTCACATTCGGTAAATATCGCTTGGACAGCGACGGCAAACGTCGCTAGGCAAATTAGTCACAAGACAAATGTGTTGTTCAGTAAGACCACTTGGGAGTCGAACAGGCATAAATGCCTGCACCGGCTCTCAACGTCTTTTGATTGCGTAGATGACTCTGTTCACTCCAATCTTAATGCAAATCCCGCATTGCGTAAGTTGCACTGAACGCCTTGCCAAAACCTCGCAGCCACCACGTGCTGGACCTGTGTGCGCCAGAACTAATCGAAATTATCTTTTGTTTCCCCTCGTCTAGTGTGCGCAAGCAAGTGGTCAACATCCCATCCTTCGTTGTGCGCCTGGACTCCCAGAAGCACATCGACTTCTCTCTGAAGTCGCCCTTCGGCGGCGGCCGTCCTGGTCGCGTCAAGCGCAAGAACCTGAAGAAGAACCTGGGTGGTGGTGCCGCCGCTCCCGAAGAGGATGAGGACTAAGCTATAGTAGCCTGCCAATTCGACTGTATGGCGCAACATTTTATACAGTTAGAACATTGTTTTACAAAATAAATTTAAAGTGGCCAGAAGTTGACGCGGCTTCAATAAGATGAAATAGAGAGAAACACGGGTTAATCTTTTGTTATAAGAAACGGTACCCCTTGGGAGAGGTACATGGCTCTTTCTATTTAAAATTTAGTTGGAAGGCTGATAAAACAACATATCGACGCTACAGCTGTTAAAGAGCAACATATGAAAACAATGACAACGCAACACAAATATTTTTCAACAATACTTTAAATTTTAAAAAGTACCCAGAGTAATAAATTAACACCATAACGTCTCGTGCGCCTTTGTACATCGATATCACATGTCGTGCCTCCGATAGTACTATCGATGTTCTACCAGCTCTGCCGTGCGGCCGTGTTTTGATTCGCGTTTTGCGGCACTTGCTTATTTTGGAAATTAAAAACGGAAATTGACAGTGAAGAAAAGGGGACAAAATGCCGAAAGTCGGCGAAAAGGTTAAAGTGAACGTGAAGGATCGCGTACAGGATGAGGTTTGCGACTTGAGTCTCTCGGAGCTGAGCGAGATACCGGTCAAAGAAATTGTGAGTAATGGTTAAATTACTGGCTAATTAAGACACCAGCGGCTATGTGGCTGGGCTGTGTGGTGTCTCCATCTGCATTATTTACCGTCCCCCTTCCGCTCGTAGAATTTTCTATCGTCTGGCAATAGTCTAGTCACTGCCTATCTCGCTTGCGCACACAGAGAGAGAGAGAGAGCTCCAACTCCCAATGCTGGTTTTGTTGTTGCCCTGGCTGCCTGCCGGCTGGCTTGCAATTAACGCTGACGTTGGTTGCTCAGGCAGAGGAAGTGATGTGTGTGTATGAGTGGTTGCTGCCTTGCTCAAGTGTCATGGTGTGTGTGTGTGGGAAAGTGCAGCCAAAACTGCTTGAGGGGGTTGATTTTTGGTCATGCCACCCCTCTCTAACAGCCCAAAAAGTAAAAAGAAGGGAAATTAGATTTTAAAGTATGTCTTTTCGGGGGTTTCTTTTTGGTGATGTGACCCCAAATGCTACTCCTTTTCAGTACGCCTTTGTCCTTTGCAGGCTTCGTTCAAGCGAGTCACCGTTTTGGATCTGTCTAGCAATCGCCTGACTAGCCTGGGAGTAAGTATCCGGAGAGCATATAATAATAGCACCTAGTTTATGGATATTTTCATCCTACAGCGGAACTTCTCAATTCTCACACGGCTGGTAAGGCTGGATCTAAGTAAGAATCAAATACGCAATCTGCCCGAAGATTTCGGATTGCTGCAAAATTTGCGTCATCTGGACCTCTTCGACAATTGCCTGGTTTACTTGCCTTTGAGCTTCGGCCAACTGCGTCGACTGCGCTATTTGGATCTGAAGGGCAATCCGCTGAATCCTACCTGGGCGAAATTTGTGGGTACCTGCTCCACTCTGAAGGACTGCCAAGAGGCGGCAAAGAACTGTGTAAGTGGGAAAGTGCCACTCCACTCGAGTGGGCTGAGTGGCCTCTTGTGTACAACTTTTCTCGCATTTTGCAGGTCAACGTCTGCATCCGCATGGAGTCCGTAGCCGAGCGTCAGCGTCTGGCCCAGGCGTCCCAAGAGCGTGAACAGAGTGCTGACCTCATGTCTGGCGGAGGGGATTCCCACAACAGTGGCCAGGCGAATGGTGCCCAGCCAGGGGCCAAGAAGTCGACCAAACCAAATAACAAGAAAGCGAAATTGAAGAAATTGGCCGAAGCAGCGGAGAACGACCTGACAATCAAGCCAGTAAATGCAGTGGGAGCAGGGAATGGAACAAAGTCTGCCAACCAGAAGACAAATCAAAAGAAGAAATCGACCAATAGCACCTCCTGGCTGAATATGATCCAAAAGGTTGCCCTGTCCACGCTGGTTACCTTCATGGTGCTCGTTGTTATCAATATACTCCTCATCTACATGATTATGTTCAAGAACCCGGAGATATCGGAAAAACTGGTGGAGTACATACCGCACCAGTATCGGGACTGGATAGTGACCAAGACGGATATCTTTCGTCTGCGCGTGACCGACTGGATCTCTGAGTTCCGTACTCCCCCGGAGGAGCACTGACGGTTCATTTATTTGAAGCCATAGTGCGCTGGGGCTTCAAATAAAACGAATCTCTAATACAATTCGGATGCGAGCGCGTGGAGAAATCGGAAATGTGTAGACCACCTGAACAAACGAGTTATACGACTGCGACTTTTATATACCCCACTGTATTGTGTATACTGCCATATACCCTCGTACTTTGCTAGACATCCAAGGACAAGGATTTTTTAACACAGCCCCGCATCACACACGAACACAAGCACACACTCTGTTGCTGTTACGGCTGCTGGAAACTCAACTAATATATCATCAAACAAACTACACTCAATCAATGAACACAACTTAACAGGACTCAAGTCAACTCAATCGAAAGCTAAAACCTAACAATAGCTCTTAAACTCAAACTCAATAGTAACTGAAACGCAGTTCCAAACTGTGGCCACACATAGAAACTACAGACACAGTCAGACCAGAGACCCTCATAATATCTATATAGCTAACCATACAGCTCTGCCACAGATCGCGGATCAGATCAGCAAACATACAACATACATACATAAATACAACGATATTCTGTAAGAATTTCCCGTGCAATCCTCAACTTGTCCGAAGTTCAGCTCAAATTTTATTAGTATCTACATTTACCACTCCAACTGATCGATCGATCTTTGGTCGATACATTCAAAATCTCAAAAGTGTACCAATTTTAGTCTCTTGCTGTAAATTGCAACAAATTCATGCGGTTTCATATAATTTATGCAAAATCAAATTAATTGTAATCTAAAAACAAAAAATATTGCTGATTTTTTGAATAAAGTTTTACATTTTAACAATAAATCCCTCAATGGTTAATCAATCCCGGAAAATGTTGTCGGGAATAAGAGGCTCTCAAGGTGAGACTAAACTTATCAATACTAATACAATTACAGTTGTACAATTTACTCATTAGGTAGTGTCAATTGGTACACTTGACAATTGATTTTCATTCGATTTCCTATATTTTATATTATTATCTTGTATTTATAGACCCTGCTGGACAAGCGAGTGTGCCCCTATCTTGGCGGATTTATTCATATTTTAATTGAATATAAATAAAGTATTTACTTATCTCCTTATACTTAACTCCATTGCTATTAATAAGCAAATAATTTCCTTCGAGTTCAATGAATTTACTTCCCAGAAACTAAATAACTGAATATGTATATATATATTTCAGCCAGGCAGTTGATAAGAGTCGCCACATCGTTAAAGCCAACATTAAAAGTAATTTCGATTTATCTACAACTCACTATGATGACACGAGCCGCCAGAGTCGTCCGTTATGGTCTCAGCTATACAAACAAAAATTTGTTTCCAACACATTCTGTCTCTAACTCATACATATAGTATATAATTTAATATATAATTTATTTTGGAGATTTACAAGCTGTAAAACCTGTTTAGATACGCTAAAAAAATTGGAAATGTAAATATCTTTACTAGAAAAAAAGTCTGGCCATATTTCGTGCCGAGTTAATATAGCAATAGAATCAATCTAGATTCTAGAACCCTTTCTTAAGGATCTAAAAGTCTGCTCATTAAAGGTTGAGACTAAATTGTGTTCTCGCATGTTCCTGAATTCCACTGAATTATTTATGTAGAAATAAATAATTAATTGATACATGACTTGCAGAAATGAATTTCATCAATAACCCATAACCCATAGAAAGTTGTAGAACGATAACGTAAGTATCTGGTTTAGGGAGGTGGCATGCAGTTCTTCCATGAACTTGCAAAAAATCTACATTTCACTTTTCTACTCAAAAGCTCCAATTTAAAGTTTCGTGTTTCATCAAATGAATTATTTGGCGCCACGCTTATGAAAGTTAGAATTATATTTCATCAGCCGTTCTGAGAGAGCTGAGACGGTATAAGCAGACCCTTTAAGAGAACTTTTTGTAAGCTATACGTTCCTTGCCATCCCTTTCCCCATCGTTTTGCTCTCAGCCATGTACAAATATTTGTATATGTATGTACATTGCCGGTCTCTTTATGGTGGTTGCTTGCTCTCTCGCTTTCGCCGCGCTCTTTCAGTTTTGGAAACCAGTGCTTAACTGAAACCACTGTGCGATGGGCATGATGCAATGATATAAGGTGGTCCCGTCGGCAAAATGGCACCCCTTACAGTGCTGTCAATAAGTGAGTGTGAAAAGTGCGAGTGAAAAGATTCTGCTTAGTAATACTGAGTGAAACGACAATGGAGTGTGCTGGACAGCCCTTTAATGGCATGGGGTTTAAAGTTGACCATTGCTGGGTAATGGGTAAAACGCACAAAATGTTGGCATTAATTTATTGAAATCAAATTAAATTTAACCAATTAATCAAATGTATTTTTGTAAAGTTCAAAAATGTTTTAAATGTTTTAAAATACATTTTTTAATAATAAAGATGACGTAAATGGGTATCAGTTCGAATGGGGGCGGCAGGAAGGCGTGGTCCAAAAGACTGCATTTTTTTCGAAATTCTAATTCAGTCTTACTAAATTTGTAGAAGTCTAGTTTTATTTTTAACGATAGGGAGCCACCTTATATTATGACATCATGGCGCTGGGTATATAAAAGAACGGCATTAGTGGTGACGCCGCTGAGTTTCTGTTCGACGTTCGCGCGTTATTTTCACGTTTCTGAGTGCCAGCAGCCACTGCTACAGTGCTACTTTTCAACTGTTGGCATTAACTGAGTGTCGAGTTGTGGAATATGTTGTATACTTACTGAAACAAACAACAAAATAAAAGTGTTAGTATCTCTGTACAGTACACGCGGAAAAAGTAAGCAAAAAATGAAGGCGGCGTGTGAATGAAACCTGAAAATCTATACATAAGTTAGGAAGAAAAGACTCGGAACGAAGGAAGCACATGGCAGAAAATGGGGTTTGGTCTCAAAATAGCAGCGGCAGAGTGCAACGGCAATAGAAGAGTCACGCACATGTTATGTATTCGTATTCAAAAGTATTCAGAAAAGAAAAGAAAACCGCTGTAATCCATTAAAAATGTCAAAAAAAAATATATATACACAACAAACAAAGCATAATTATAGATAAAAAGGGCTTCAGCACTGGCCCAATGTCAATTCTAATTAAAAACCATCGGACAGAACAAAAAAAAAAAACTGAAAACTGAAAGAATAATTTTTCTGGGACACGCGTGCAGTCTTGACGTAGACGTCTACAGCGACGACAATTTGCCAACGTTGCACCTGTCCCGTTATTTGCTTTACCTTTTTTCGAATTTTTCGTCTACATATCTCCCGTGACACTCCGCTCCAAATTTTTGGGGACTCTCAACGCTTAGAAATCATGAATGGAATATAATCATTATCGTAATTGCGCGCGCTTTCTACTAACTTCAAGTTGTGTGCGGTGCTGTTGTTGTTGTTTCGAGTGTTTGAGTGTACGATAGTTCAATGGCTGCGAATAGGTTTCCCCCATTTGACTTGCTGATGTTCCACGTTTCTTCTTTGTATATAGCAATACGTAATTTAATAGTAATTGAGCATTTAATCCAAAGGAAAGTTCACGCGATGTGTATGGAACGGATAGCCAGGCTGACTGCGGACCATGATGGTATAAGCAAGGGCCAGATCTACCTAACTGCGTCAATGCACACCCACGACACACCCACACTCCCTGCCATTAGAGAAGCTGACTCATCCAAGGACAAACCCAAATGCAAAATCAAACTCGAAAATAGCTGTAAAGCAAAAAAGGTTACAGAGCAAACCAACCTCCTCTAACAGAGGTGTGAGTGAGTGTGTGTGCGTGTGGTCCTTATCTCGCCCGTAATGCGCGAATTTTTTGTTAGTCTGTTATTGATTTTAGTATTGCTGTTCCGTTGTTGTTGCTGGTAATTAACAAAACAGAAATTTGTACTAGCCTCAAAGCAAAATACGCAGTAAAACTGTAACGTCAGAGACTGGAGTCCAACCAAAAGAGAGACAAACAGAGAGTGTGTGCTTTGTGTGGGAGAACAGAGTGCGTGGGCCGAGACTGCAACTGTTGCTTACGTGCAAGCAACGTCTTGACAGTTTGACATATCAATGCAGGCAAAAGCGAGACGGAGATGCAAATTCACTTTCTAGGGAAATTGATTGCTTGATAGAACTTTCATTCGAAGCAGAGCAAAGCTTGATGTTAGGGCATTTAGCCCTCGGTGCACGTCTATCATCCAGTTTGACTACACCTTTCGTTGTTTACCTCTATTCTTGTTGTCCGCCTGTCTGTGTCTTCCTTTCGCTCGTGTCTGTAATTTGCGCAATTTGTTCCACACCCACACACATTCAGACCCTACACTTGACCGCCTTCTTTACGGTAAATGTCGTGGCTACAACAGAAGAACCCACCCAGAACTGTCGGAAATTGATTTATTTTAGGCATAACAAATTTTCGCAACACACACAACTTAAAGAAGGTTGAAAAATGAGCGGATATCGATTGAACCATTGAGCACACGGTTCAAAAAGTACAGTTGATAAAGCTCCTTCCCATAAAACGGAATAATAATGAATAATAACGAAAGCCATAAGCATAATCTAATACGATAAAGTGACCTTTGCATATACAACTCTATATGAATAAATATATGAATATATGTGAAGTGTTATCAGAACCAGAAGTTATGCAAGGACCACAAGCCTGCATTTGGTGATGTGACTCTATCAGATAACAACACTGACTACTTATGGCACTATCTACGGGCTCTTCCTAGAGGCCTTTCCACGTGTCTCCATTGATAATAATGGAATAATAATGTGCTTACAGTCGTGTATCATTTGGACAGCAGTTTTTGTTTGATACATTTTCTCTAATGGCGTCGAAGTTGACGAGGTTTTTTTGGGGATCTTTGAGCTGCCCCACAAGAGAAAGCAGCTGTTTAAATATTTTTGAGGGCTACCCAAAGCCAAAGGCAAAGGTCACCAAAGGTAGTTAAGAACTGTGGAACATCAATCCTTAGTTAACAGCAAAAATGTATCGCTTTTGATAACATAAATTGCTTTTTAAGCAATCGTGTTCTATGCCTCAACCTTGTCACCTTCCAAGAACCAACTACAAGTTCGCTATCTGGGAAATTCCTCCATAAAAAAACACAAATTGAACTTCAAGTGTTCATCGCAGTGCTGACGGCGTTTCGGCGTGCAATGTTTCCCTTTAAAAATACCCTAAAATAAACAAGAACTGAGAGATACGAAATACAATACTTCTATTTGTTGGTCAGCAGATAACATAAGAGGCTCCAATCTCTTTTGTTTGCAGAATGCATTCCGTCTGTTATCTTAGAAAAGGAAAATAGGGGATGATAAAATATAGGATGATGAAATATTGGTTAAACTTTTCCCTATGCCGCCGGCTGCCGGTGAACTTGATGCTAAATATAAACTCATGTCGAGGATTATTTTCTAAGAATGAAAGGCTTATGTTATTGCTGACGCAATATTCGCTTACCGAAACGGCGGGGAAATACATATAAACATTATCGTAGAGCGGAAAGGGCTTGGGTACCACCGATGGCAAAGCAAAA